ATTTAGCTTTATATTTTAGTTCATTTTAGTTTAACCCTTCGTGGTCCTTTTGATATTATTTGAGGTATTTAGTGTAATTAAAATTGTCTTATTGCTTTCTTTTTCAGTCCTTTATAGTGTTTCTAGTTAGGTTTATTCTTTAGTTACCTTAGGTTCTGTCCCTGTTTGTCTGAGTCCATGTCGAGCTTTCTTTAGTGAATATAGTTTATTTCATTTTTATCCTTCTAGTTATTTCTTATTTCAGCTTCCCTGCAGTGTGTCTAGTAATGTTAATTTCACCACCCTAGGTTCAGTCCGAACATGTCCGAGTCTATGTATATCGTCTTTTGGTAATTCTAGTTAGGTTATTTCTTAAGTCCTTCTAGCCTCTGCTGCCATTGGGCCCACCCCTACACACATCATGATAGAAATAGTAGACGTGTCTTAAAAGATGTACAACTATGTATATTTGCACATAAAACAAATAAGAAATTAAAACCTTTCAAGGTGAGAACAAAAATACAGAGTTAAAGTAATCTGTCAAGTCTGCTCTGAGTAATAGTGGATTCTGGCTTCTTTTTATAGATTCTGGTCAGAGAAGAGAGACTTGATTAGACTATAGTTGTGAATCATTGATTGTTATGTATCAGGGATTCTGTGGAGTCCTTTAATGCTAAAGAGGACAGCTTTAATCCTGATAAGTTCTGTGTTGGGTAAGTAACAACTTGATAGTTTTGAGCATCAACAATTGCTTGAATCTCATGACAAGACTATGCAACTAACCTAAAGCAGAACAGCGGTGAGGAGCCCTTAAGTTTTTCCATTACATTCCCTTCTTTTGATCATAATAAACACTGTTTTATTAATTGCACAAAAGATGATGAAAAAGACAAGAGAATGCCAATGCACAATTATATATACTTCACAAAGAAGAGTCACACATAGTAAGCCACTACAGATTGAAGTCATAATATAGCAGTAGAGATTGTTCTCAAGAACAAAGCCTTTTTGATTTTATACTACATATGGGTGTCAGCATAATTAAGATGAGTATTAAGCTAAGCTTGTTTTTATAAGTTCATTTATTAAATAATGTGACTATACTTGTGTCTTCATTGTTGGAGACCTGAATGCTGACATATCGAATACTTGCTCCCTTTTTTAATAACATTTAGTTCAGTTTTGTCTAAAAAATAACCTGGTTTCATCTATTAAAGAGAAGCTGCAGCGGACAGCCATATACACATCAGTGAAGCATGCCATACAACATCTTGGCTTGATCACTTTATATGCATAGCTGATGCACATGAATGAATAACTAAGGTTGAGATTTTGCATCCATTGGCAACATCTGATCACATTCCTGCTTATGTGGAATTAAACTGTGAAAATGTTTCAAAATTGTTCAGTTATGAGAATATCATATATAAAATGAAGCTGATTTGGGCTAGTGTCTGACAAGGATATTAGTGCCGAATATTCTCCTCTTCTAGTAATTAGTCAAGCTTCAAGTCGCAAATGCCAGCGCTCTGTCATCTTGGATACTCGAAATCCGTCTCACTCCTCATTGGCGTCATTTCAACATCCTTCACCTCCAACAACATTCCAGTCCCATGGCTGCAGACCGCTAAGAGGTGTCAGCCATCAGGCTCGTTCTTCCAGGCCACTGCCGCCTTCAGGAGTCACTCAGCCAAACAACTCCAACACATCCACATCCCAGCGCTCCACCGCAGGCGTCTCAACTTGTCAAGGCCTCAGATTCCAGGTCGTCGCTCGTCTTCAGCGCTCTCTACATAAGAAAGGTATCCCTTTCTGGAACCCCATGTAAGACAACCATAGACATAGTGGAATAGTAGACCCCGCATTGGCTGCTCCGGCGCAGGAAATACGGCGGCCATTTTGGAGCAGTCGTCCCTTGGACTTTGCTCAAGCAAAACAGCAGAAGATGTCTCAGCACTGCGGGATATTGTTGTTCAGGTCGACGGACTATTGATGTGAGGGCTTGACAGAACATTTCACAAGTAAGATGGACATATTATTGTGCATATTTTGTGATTAGAATATTACTTTACTATATGTATGTCCACTGGTGAGAGATCAGCTAATATTAGCTATAGTGCTTGGTGTAATACCAGGTTCCAGCCCCCACTACGAAGGCTAACAGAGATTCCGTAAATCTTAAATAAAAAATAATTATTCTCTAACATTGACTTAGATTATCTGACACAAGAGCGTGTATTAGAAATGAAACAATATAACACATATTATAAAACTTCTGTGTTATAACATTCACCGGCAAAGTTTACACAGGTGGTAAAGACTTTTATATTCTTTCACTCTGTCAAAAGTAAGATACATCCCAAATCTTCTGTTTTTGTTTTGAAGGTTTCCTAAAGACACGATGTGAGGAAGAAGAGGGAGATATCAATAAAGAGAGACGGATTCACTGCAGCACGGATGAATCTCGCATCGGATTTTGGGCTCAATCTCAGCTGCTGAATCACTCTGAAGCTAGAACTCGTTGGCTGAAAACCATATACATATATCTATCTATATGTATATATATACATACATACATATAAACATGTATCCAATATATATTATTCAGTATTAATCATTATTTATTTGTGTCATTGTTAATCATTATTTATTTGTGCCATTATTAATCTTTATTTATTTGTGTTTGTATAGTTATATAAATATGTATTGATATTACTAAATAATTTATTAAGTAAATTATTGAACGACTGTGTGCTTTGTAATATGCTCTTCATACATCAATAACAGAATATTCCATTCCTATTCTATTGTTATAGCCACTAAGCATATTTAAATATGCTGAACTATGTATTAAAAAAATACTTAAATAATACAATTGTTTATAAATGTAGCTTTGATAGATGTTTGAATATGGTTTCCAGTAACAAAAAAGCGTGTTATGATCGATTAAATGCGCTGATACGTCATTGTTCCTGCTAAACACATAAGCTAAGTGGAGTGGTGTACCGCTCCAAGATGGCCGCCCTAAATCTCGTCAGCGACAATAGGCGAGAGCGGTCCATGAGGGTCTATTCTTATATTATGTCTATGCAGGAGGTAATGACAAAAGGAAGGCTTGTAT